GCAGACCTGTCCAGGTGTCTCTGTGATGGACTGCAGACCTGTCCAGGGTGTCCCCCACCTCTCACACAGTGACTGCTGGATATGGACACCAGTGACCCCGATGATGGCTGGATGGATTTAAGTGCTATGTACGTTCCCACACAATAATGAAATGAGTTCTGGGTATTTAACCTAACACACCTGAGATACACCCAGGTGGAGCAGTGGGCAGCTATGCAAGCACCCGGGGAGCAGTTAGGGACTGGGTGTCTTGCTCAGACACCACGACATGTGGGAATGGCTGGGAGTCAAATCGTGACGTTCTGGTCCCCGGTCTCTGCCTGTTCTTGGACAGACGGACGGATGGATCAGACTCATTGACAGATTCATGACGTCAGCTGCCTGAATCTCAACATTCAACCAGTTTGATTTGTCAAACTCCACATTCACAAACAAAATGTTTCATCACAACAACATTATACAGCAACAAGTTCAATGTTTCAGGTGAATAACGTTAATTACTAGTCATTTATTTTAAAAAGCCGAACAGCATCAATATGAAAAAGCTTCTGAACATCTACCAAACACCATCTTTAAAATATGCAAAGGTTCAGAACTTGCAACAGAAGATAAATGTTCACATACTTCAAAGAAATCATCCCATAAAATCTAAATGCTGTGACTTTCCTATTTCACTCAGACACGAGCTTCATGTGATAGTTGTTTTAAAGCGCTTTGCAATGAGATCACTGGTTTTAACTTGAAACTCTTGTGGAAACAGCTGGCACCCTGGACGTAACAAACTTACAGCTCCAATGTTTCCAGCCTCCAGGTTGCCGGTGTGATGCTAAAGCTAACAGGTTCTCTGCCTGATTCTCTCTCGGAAACGTCGGTTTCCTCTGAGATGCAAACAGCTGAGACGAGTTCAACTCCGCTGACATGGTTTTTCACTGTTCCTTACCTCCGAGATGTCATTTTATTTCCTTTTCTTACTTCCTCGCGGGCGCTTAGCGGCTAGCTTCAACAAGCTAACTAACGTTTGACGTTTCCGCTTCAGCTAATCGGTAAAGTGCTTCATGGGTTTATACCCGCTCAGAACGGGCACTCTAAACTAGTTAGGCATCCGCAAAAATTACATTAGCGACCGCTACAAAAAAGTCTCTAGGCCTCGGCCCTGGAGACTTCACAGCAAGTCGACTATTAGACGTCACCAAACATGCGACACAAAACACGGCGCGTGGGTTTCTGCACCCTGACTGAGCGGGGGTTCATGCTGCAGCTCCCGTACAGTCACCGCCAGAGGGAGATCGTCTATCCGGTACAAAGCGTACAGTAAATTAAAGACACCCCGATCACTGCCATACTGCGCATGCGCAATAAACCTTCTCTTCCCCGAGCAGCATTATTCATAGAGTATAAGTCTGTGGCAACTGTATCAAGACTGGTTTACCCTGCATCCTCCATAGCCATACCTCGAAAGATTATTAAGGAAATTAATAAATTAAACTTTAACTTTATTTGGAGAAATAAACATCGTTATATCAAAAAAGGAGATACAGTTAAAAATTATGAAGATGGTGGGATTAAAGCAATAGATTTTGAAATAATGAATGGCGTATTAAAACTTAAATGGCTTCAATCTTTTCTTAAAAATGGTCACGAGCTTTGGTTTGCTGTCCCCACTTTGGTTTTTAGTAAAGTTGGAGGTATTGACTTCCTGTTAAGATGTGACTTTGACATTCCTAAATTACCTGTTAAATGATCTGCTTTTCACCAACAGGTGTTATTAAACTGGAAACCAGCATACAAACATAACTTCAGTCCTCATGATGTTCCTTTTTGGAACAACAGAGTCATTCTACACAGAAGGAAGTCTGTGTTCATGGAAACATGGATGGAGAAACAAATATGGTCACTCACTCATCTCATGGATGAAAAGGGAAATTTATATGAATATGAAGAATTCATTAAAAAATATAATCTAATCTGTACCAAAAAAGACTATGATAAAGTAACAAAAAATATACCAATTGCATTTGTTCAGTTAATAAAGAACAATTATGAAACTAAACCAACAATTAGTTTACCGAGCATCAATCTCAATGGACTAAATTTAACACACAATAAATGCAACAACAATTTTTTAAGACAACATTTAATAAAAACAATATATTCTGGTCAGGTAAGAAGAAAGTTTCACGATTTCTATGATAAGAAGGAAAGAATAAAAATAATGACAACATATCTGGGTTTCCCTCTTCCACCTAAATATAAAGAATTACATTTCAAAACTCTAAATAATATTTATCCTTCTAACGAGTTTATCAGAAATAGATTTAAATTTGAATGTGATAACTGTTCTACATGTAACGAACCTGAAACAACAGAACATTTATTCTATTTCTGTCATTCTGTGAACACATTATGGAAATCCCTTCACGATCTCCTGACCATCAAATCTATGAACATGGACTCCTTCTCCGTTCAGAATATATTATATGGATATGTATCTGAAAATAAAAAAGATGAATACTTTGTCAATAACATTATCATAATATTAAAATTCTATATACATAAATGCAGATATGGCAAGTCTAAACCATTATGGTCTGTATTCAAACAAGAACTCCAGTTGTTAAAACTTTCATTAGACAGAGCTAAAAAACCACAAGTGAAAAAGCTCTGATCACCTCGCTCACATAATAAAGCCCTCTGACAAATTATTTTAGTAATTATGTAGATTCTTAGATAAATAGTTAGTTGTTTAATTTACTGGACTATATTATTTGCAAACTCTCAAATAGTATTATTACCTAATTTTTAAGTTTATGATGGTTGATATAATTCATTTTAGAATATGTTGACCTTAGGAGGTATGATTGTAGATATTTGTATATGTTTATATGTATCATTGTAATTTGAGATTGTCATTTGTTGTTCTATTTGTGTTCTTTTGTTCTGTATGTTCAGTAGTTCAATAAAGGTAAAAAAAAAAGTCTGTGGCATTATTTATGACTTGTATCCGACTGCTGGCTGCCACACGATATCATAAAACATATACTTTAATGAAAGCGTTTATTATGCTTTTATTTGCAAGTTTCCGGTGCGTTAGCCGGACTACCTCCGGTTTGTGTCACAAACGTCATATGCAGGTTAACAGTACAATGAAATATCCTGATGCATGCTCAATAATCAATAATCTGAACAA